GAAGACTATTTGGAGTGATTCTCATCCCATCTCTTCAATTTTCTGTCTTTTTTTTTTTTTTTTTTTTTTTTTTTTTTTTTTTTTTTTTTTATGAGTCAGGGTCTCACTATGTTGCCCAGGCTTGTCTCAGTCTCCGGGGCTCAAGTAGTCTTCCCACCTCAGCCTCCCGAGTGGGGGATCATAGACACACACCACATGCCTGCCTCAATTTGCATTCAACAAACTTTTTAAGAAGAATTGTCTGCTCTGTACCAGGCACTCAAGACTAAGAAAACACATTCTCCAATCTCAAGGTATGTGTCGAAATCAGCAAACAGACAGATTCATTCATTCAGCAAGTACCAAAAACAGGGGGTTGTCAGTCCTATGGCAAAGCGACATCAGTCCAATAAATCATTACAAACTCTAACGAGCCCCACAGAAGAGTCTAACAGGGAGATCTCACCTAGATGTGTAGGGAGTGGTCGGAGAAGGTTCTCTAAGGGAGGGATATTGAGCTGAAATTAGAAGTATGCATAGGAAAAACACACTTGGAGGAAGGAAGAGCATTTTAGGTGGGGAAAGTGCTTGGAGAAAGGCCCTGAGACAAGGAGGAACACGAGATTCAAAGATCCTGGAAGGCCTGGGCCTGTAATCCCAGCACTCTGGGAGGCTGAGGCGGGAAGACTGCTGGAGCTCAGGAGTTCGAGACCAGCCTGAGCAAGAGGGAAACCTGGTCTCTACTAAAAATAGAAAACAATAGCCAAGCATGGTGGCGCATGCCTGTAGTCCCAGCTACTCTCGAGGCTGAGGCAGAAGGATGGCTTGAGCCCAGGAGTTTGAGGTTGCTGTGAGCTAGGCTGATGCCACAGCACTCTAGCCCAGGCAAAAGAGTGAGACTCTGTCTAAAAATAATAATAATAATAATAAAAAAACGGTGGTTCATGCCTATAATCCTAGCACTCTGGGAGGCTGAGGCAGGTAGATCGTTGGAGCTCAGGAGTTCGAGACCAGTCTGAGCAAGAGCAAGACTCCGTTTCTACTAAAAATAGAAAGAAATTAGCTGAATGACTAAAAATGTATAGAAAAAATTAGTCTGTAGTGTCTGTAGTCCCAGCTACCCCGGAGACTGAGGTAGGAGGATTGCTTGAGCCCAGGAGTTTGAGATTGCTGTGAGCTAGGCTGATGCCACAGCACTCTAACCCAGGCAAGAGAGTGAGACTCTGTCTAAAAATAACAAAAGACCCTGGAAGGCCAGAGGATCCGGAGAGCAGAGCACAGGAAGCTCTGTGGCAGAAGTCAGGGCCAGGCTGGAGAAAGGAGGGTTAGAGCAGAGACAAGGCACAACCTGGTTCACTCTGGCTGCTCTGCATAGAATGGCTGGCACTAGGGCAAAAGTGGAAGTGGGGGCAACTTCAGTAGTCAGATCCATCCGAAAGCGCTGGACTGGAGAGAGGTGAATGGATTCATGGCGTGTTTTGAAGCGGCGTTTTTTTTTTTTTTGAAACAGAGTCTCACTCTGTTGCCCGGGCTAGAGTACCGTGGTGTCAGCCTAGCTCAAACTCCTGGGCTCAAGCGATCCTGCTGCCTCAGCCTCCCAAGTAGCTGGGATTACAGGCATACGCCACCATGCCCGGCTAATTTTTTCTATATTTATATTAGTTGGCCAATTAATTTCTTTCTATTCATAGTAGAGATGGGGTCTCACTCTTGCTCGGGCTGGTCTTGAACTCCTGACCTCGAGCAATCCGCCCACCTCGGCCTCCCAGAGTGCTTAGATTACCGGCGTGAGCCACCGCGCCCGGCCTGAAGCGGCGTGTTTTGAAGCACTGTGCTTGGATAGATTGGATTGGATGTCCAGGGTGAAGGAAGGAGAAGATAGGAAGACACTGAGACTTTTGTAATTGAGCCTCTGTGGTCAGTGCGCTCTTGGCTGAGATGGGAAAGGATAAGCGCGTCAGGGTGTGAGGGGGATGGGGAGTTCTGGGCTGGCTGTGTCGGGTTTGACATGCTTACTAGCCACTATGTGGCCATGCAAGCTGATCCTCAAGTCTAAGGCTATGGACTGAGGCCCAGGTTGGAGACGTGGCTGTGGGGTCAGCAGCACATCATGGACTAAGGTCGCTTGGTGTGTGTGTAGCTAAGAGCAGGACAAGGAGAGAGTCTGGCACAGACCAACACACAGTGGTGTTTCAGAGCAGCAGGAGCCAGCAGGGACCTCATGTGGAATGCCAGGAGACAGAAGGAAAAGTAGAAGAAGATTCTTCAAGGAAGGCCTGGGCAACTGCCATGCCTGCTGCTGCCGAGAACAGAAGTGCAGGGATTGGATCTAGCAATAGGGTAGCGTTTGGTCACCTTGTGAGTAGTCTCGACCGTGTGCTGGAAACGGAAGCCTCGTTGGAGTGGGTTAGGGAGAGAGAGTGTGAGGTGAGAGATTGCGATTAGTGTGGCAGAATAATGGGCCAAGATGTCTTAGGTGGGATCTTGAAGGATGAATGCTGACTGGTCAAATGCAGAGTTGGAGGGATAAGCTCTCTAAGAGGATGTGGGTAGGCTATTTGCAAAGTCACAAGAGCAAGAGAGCAGAAATTCATGTGTGCTTTCTGTGCAATGTATCTGGAAATTCTAGAGTTGATGGTATGCTTTCGGGCTGTGCTCTCTTAGACCACTCTACTTTAAATCCTGTAGGCTGTAGTTATTTAATTCATTAAAGAGACTAAGGGAATGGCTGAGATAATCTGATCTTTTTAGCTGATTGTTTTTAGAAGACAAATCTAGGCCGATCAAACAGCTGGATTTTTTTTTCCTATTAGCTCTATTGATAATAAATTCAGAATTGGGGCTGGACATGGTGGCTCACGCCTGTAATCCTAGCACTATGGGAGGCCGAGGCAGGCAGATCCATCAAGGTCAGGAGTTTGAAACCAGCCAGACCAAGAGCAAGACCCCAGCTCTACTAAAAAATTAGAAAGAAATTAGCTGGACAACTAATATAAATGTAAAGAATTAGCCAGGCATGGTGGCACATGCTTGCAATCCCAGCTCCTCGAGAGCCTGAGGCAGAAGGATCACTTGAGCCCAGGAGTTCAAGGTTGCTGTGAGCTAGGCTGATGCCAGGGCACTCTAGCCCCGGGCAACAGAGCAAGACTCTGTCTCAAAAAAAAAAAAAAAAAATCAGAACTGGGAAGGGAAGCTTTTCTCCTCCTATAATATTAATACATTGCAGTACATGGAGGAACATAGGATGAAAAGAAGAAAAAGGAGAAGTTTTAAAAGTTACGGGATGGTGCTGCAGACTGTTGATACTGCAGAAATCTGGGGACTGGCGGGGAGGGAAATGTCCCACGCGATGCCTGGGTCCTCTGTGTGACTGGCCTGGCTTCCAGCCTCCACTGTGCCCCAGATGGCTGCACGTGCTTTAACAAAGTCGCTTTAGTTTGCATTTGCTCCTGTGAACTAAAATAAAGTCCTAAGCCCCCCACCAACTGAACGGACCCCCATCTCAGCCAAGGAGACCCCCCAAAAACTCCAAAGTGAGTTCCCAGCCTTGACAGGACGGGAGACCGGACGCCCTCATGACACCCCTCCCTGGCCCACAGCCATCGGGTGTCCTCTGCGTCCCCTCGTGCCGTCGGAGGGCCTGACACTCCGCGCCGGGATCAGGCTAAGCCGGCATTTTCCGAACACGGACCCCACGAAGGGCGCGAAGCCGAGCCGCGCACGCGCACGGGCCTCCGCGGCTCGCCCCGCAGCGCGCCCCCGCACTCGCGCCCCCCACTCGCGCGCGCCCCCGCACTCGCGCGCCCCCCGCACTCGCCGCCCCGCACTCGCGCGCCCCGCACTCGCGCGCCCCCGCACTCGCGCGCCCCCGCACTCGCGCGCCCCCGCGGCCGCGGCCTCGAGGAGACACGCTTCGCTCCTTCCCGCCTTTGTGGTCCCGCCGTCACACACAGTTCGCTCCCGGCCGTCGCACGAGGGGCTGCGGCGGGCTCGCCGCCCCCGCAAGGACCCCCACGCCCCACCTCAAGACCTCCGGGCACGGGTCCGCCCGCTTCGCCCCGCCCCGCAAGGACCCCCACGCCCCACCTCAAGACCTCCGGGCACGGTCCGCCCGCTTCGCCCCGCGCCCGCCGCCCACGCAAGGACCCCCACGCCAGGCCTCACGACCTCGAGGCGCGGGTCCGCCCGCTTCGCCCCGCCCACGCCGCCCCCACACGGTCCCCCACGCCAGGCCTCACGACCTCGAGGCGCGGGTCCGCCGCTTCGCCCCGCCCACGCCGCCCCCGCAAGGACCCCACGCCAGGCCTCACGACCTCGAGGCGCGGGTCCGCCCGCTTCGCCCCGGCCACGCCGCCCACGCAAGGACCCCCACGCCAGGCCTCACGACCTCGAGGCGCGGGTCCGCCCGCTTCGCCCCGCAAGGACCCCCACGCCAGGCCTCACGACCTCGAGGCGCGGGTCCGCCCGCTTCGCCCCGCCCCGCCCCGGGGCCACCCAATCGCAGCCCATCTCC